TCACACTAAGTGCCACCACATACGCAGTGCTTAGGTAAACCATTGTTAACTCAACCACCAACAAAAGTTTAACTATGAAATTCATATCGCCTGAAAATGTACAAATTCTAAAATCAATATTTTTCCATACAAATTTGAAATTCGTTCAAAAAAAAAAATTATAATAATTTTAAAAGAGGCCAAATATGGAAGAATGCTGGTTAAAACTTTTGTTAACTGAGTATTGCGAACATCAAAATCGATAGTCAACCATAGTTAGTGGTTAACTACGTACTGCGAATTTGGCCGCCCTAAGTAATTTTTTGATAAATTTAAAATTTCTATGATTTACCCAACTATTTACCATAACTATATATATGTACTTACTTAAAAAAAAAAAAACTGAATGAAAATTTTTAAAACTAAAAGTAGCTTTTACAAAATAGCTATATATAAATAAAACTTTCGCATTAAGCAACACAGCTTTATAAAAAAAAATTAAAAAATCACCAACGCTTAAACAAGTTATTTCTTCGCCAGGCTTACACTATTCTACTACTTCTTTATTTCAATGAGCTGCTGCCAACCAAAAGTGAAGCGAGCAAATTTAATTTTAAAAATGTATTTCTACAGTTAATTTGCACGAATTTTGTTTTCATATTTTTTGTGTATGTTTAGAACGGTTTCAGCAATTTCGTTACTAGAAGTTCTACAGTTTAATTTAATGAAGTATATGTGTATTGAATGTGTGTATGCGTGTATTTACACCTAGCAAGTTTCATAACTGCATGTGCTTATTTCTGAAATGCAAGACTGCTTTTTGATTGCTGCAATTTAAATCGGGGACCGAAAACAAGTCTAAACTGACGATCGCATTTTACAAAAAAAAATAAAACCTCCTATTTAATGATTATTTTAAAATAACCATTAAAGGAGAAGATTTTTATACTTAGATCCTTGCAAAATCGTTATTGTTTTATTTATATCTTTTTGATAAAAAAAAATAATCTTTAAAGTGGAATTTTTATTTCTCCTGTAAAATTCGATCCTATTTTTAGACTTTTATTTTTTAAATAACTTTTAACTGCATTTTTATGACCAAACAAATTAATATCTATCAAAACTAACGATGAAAGATTGATCGAAAAAAATAAAAATTTAAAAATAACTTTTATTCTTGACCGAAAAAATACTCGTAACACTGTTCGGCAGTTGGCTAGGGAATTGATGAAACCAAGCGGAAACCTAGAAAATAATTAAATGTTCTACAGTATAAATATCCAAAACCGCGTAGGGGTTGAGGCTTGGGAAATCTGATGTAAAAATTTGCTTCCTACATTTACGGACCGCCCTGGTATACATGCATACAAATGTATGTATGTAAAAAATTTTCTGAGTAACTAAAATTCTTAACCGAAAAATGGAAAAAGATTACAAGTTTTTATTACTCAACTTCTTCTTTGGCGCTGTATCCGCTTAAACAATTTTGGCCGCCCCTACTGTTACTCGAAGTACTGCAGTCAAGAGGAATGGTATGGCAATTTCCAATGACATAGTAAACTGCTGTTAACGCTTCGAAAAGCACATCGTAATCAAATGTCTGAATGTAAAAATTGCTAATAAATTTTTGGTCATTCAAAGGCGTGGACATACATTTTTGGTGGGTTAAAATTTGCATAAATGTATCGGCAGCTTAAAAACTTTACACAAATTGTTTAATATAAAATCTGGCTCATATTAAAATTGGACATTTACTTTGTACCATTTAAGAAATGGACCATAAATTTTTTCGCACATAAAAACAATTGCCAATAAAAGGAATGACTAAAATCGCACGTCGTTAAAAAGTGGATATCAGATAGCGATGATAAAAGGTAACCAAGACATCAGCTCACTTTCTTTACCTAGGATCGAAAAAATTAATAGTGGTGAATTTTACAAAAAAAAAAGGTAGAAATTGGTCGATTTTTTTTTTTAAGAAACAATATTGGGTAGTTTTTAGTCATATGGGAGAAATCAAGACGCATTCATATACATAAATTGGTGATACCAGAGTCGTTGTCGTACAATTGTAGTATTTGTTTTTGTACTCCTGCTACCACCCTACATAAATACTAATTCGCATGGGGATAGATTGTATTTTTTTTTTATAAAACAGCAAAAAAATGCATTTCACACCAATAAAATATTCAACAGAGGCCGATAAATGAAGCTGCGTCCAAATCAAAAGAAATTTTGAATCGAAATTGATTCAATCACGGATGCCGCGATTCGGGTACTTATTAATATAATGCGAAGCTCAAACAATTACTCTCTACCAAATTTTTTTTTTCATTAAAATTAAGTTTGAAATGCTTGAAGCTTCCAAGCCATTCGTTTGGCAATCTCCTACACAAACGTATTGCAAATGAAAGATAGAGGGCAATTTAACTTTTAGATTTGTTATGGTCTGGGTTAACTTTTCATTATTATTTTAGGTGTGTTCGACGACAAAATATGTATACACTGCGTTCATTTATGTTAATTTCTTTGTTTTTTTTCCGGAAAATATTGGTAGATTTTTAGCCTTTGGTGGTAAAAGTGGTAGGTAGAAAATAAAATATTGCTAAAAAGTTGGTAGATCTTCCAATAAAGTTGTATAGTCCGTGCACTGATCTGGAGACAAAATGAAGAATAACTTTTGCCAACAGGTGCTTTTTTTGCGCTCGGCAGGCATTTGAAAAACAGAGCCCTCTCTTGCCGAACGAATCTATTTGTTTTACATTTGTGGTGAATAAGTACTCAGTTAAGAAGTTCTGGAAACCTAGTAACAATTTTATAAAAAAAAGCTTATTTTTCCTATTCTAAGGGCCGTTTTCTCAAGTAGGCTTTAAAATTTATCTGCCCTCAAAGCACAAATTTTATTCTAAAACATGTATTTGAAGTGCAGAAAGGGCTTGATGCCAAGGGCTTCCGGTGAGCAAATATCTATTTCGACGATACGCGGTTTTGTACTTTAAACGACGATATGCACATATATGAAAAAACGACGAAAGGACATGTAGCCTGAGCCGGTTATAAATTAAGTATCCAATAGGAGGTTCCGTGCTGAAATAAAAAAAAATAGCTTCGGTTTGTTTATTAAAAAAAACAACAAAAATTTGAATTGTTATCGCTTTTGCAGTAAATGGCTTTGCATGCACGAGTATGTACATATGTGTTTCAATATATATATATATGTGTGTGATGACTTGTACTACATTTTCAATTTCAGTTTCTTTTGATTGTATTAATATTTGTATGCCTTTATTCCGTGTTATTTCGTTCTTATATTTTGCACTTAATAGCTAATAAAAATACATGCGGTCTCTACATTTAGGTTCATATGTACAATATATTAGGCTGGGTTGAGAAATATAAATTTATAATTACCCCTTCCAGTGTGAAAATTGATATTAAATGAGAATTTTGGCATTCTATTGTAAATATGTGCCTATGCCCAAAAAGCTTGAAAGGATATACACCGATGGTTAAAGAGTGGAAAAAAGTGTTGGGCTGGTATTTCTACTGGGGAAACTGCAGATAAAACTAAAAGGCCTTTTAAATGTCTGATATTTACTGTAGAATAGTCTGCTTGTCTAATAAATAATAGTGAGTCGGTATCAGTGAACTTAACTATCTTGGCTGACAGCCAAGCCGTTGTGAAATTGTTAGTATTCAAAGTAACGAAGTCGAGAATCATTCGGAAGTGTCACGTATCGCTAGCATTACTGAGTCACGCTAGATTTATTCCCGCTGAGCAATATCGAGCGAACCGAATAGCCCATGCGATGGCTAGATGTGGTTCGGAAATGCGCAGATCAACGAGTTCAATAATTCTCTATACTTACACTTATGGTTGGCGAGATCACCAACTGAGCAAAATTTTGAAGTCGTATAATTTATGAGAGGATAATGCCCGTTGCTTTTGGCTGAGGTAAAACTTAATATTCCTTCTCGAGTATCAAGACACTTTCGACCTCGGTTTTTGAAGCCATGACAAACTAATTTTGAATTAAACGAAAGATTTCGTTGTTTATGTCAAGATTTTAACTCTCATTCCAGCACGCTTGACATATCGGACTCGATTTTTACTACAAAGAAAACTGTCATTTCCTCTATCAGTAATTGAAATACTATCTTTAGCCTAACCAAACAGCTGATATGATTTTGTAGCCGAATAGTGTTCGATCTCGGCACTTAACAAACTTATGTTTCCACGGTTGGGCGGGAAAGGAGTGTAAAACCGTTGAGATTAACTAATTAATTTTTTATATGCGTTATAGTATGTAGTGCCTTCGTGAACCAGAAGTCTCAATTAACAAAATTTTTTTGTGCGTCTGAATTAAACTGAGGTTAACAAAATGTTACAGAATTTAGCAAGTGATAATCCTTTAATGCTGAGGGATTTATAATCCTACCTAAAAAGTTACTTTAACGCTACATCGAAATAGGGACTCCAGTGTAATAATTTTGAGAATTAGGGCATGGCTTTTAAATTAACGGGGTATTTACAAAGTTTTTTCATCCACATGGAGATCGACCCGATCTAACAGTATACTTCGTACCTTTGCTATCGGGCTGTTGTTAATCGGCAAAGCTATGCAATTTTTAAACAACATAGAAAATAGGTAGATCTCGTTTCTGCATAATTAACCAAAAAAAAAAAATATTTTTCAACTATGACTCTCTTGCAGCAAAGGTACGATATGTACATACATATGCAGTATGTATTAGTGTACAAGTATTTTGTATCATTTACTTATTAGCTAACACTTACTAGAAAATCCACACTCATATTTTTATGTAGTTTCACATACATATATATGGCTTGTATCTTAGTTACTAGTTTTAGTTTTTCTTCTTTAAAACAACAATACTTATAAATAGTTTGCTTCCGTATAGTATTTAAGTTTAACTATTCATACATTTTTTATTTCTATTCACTTCAGTTCAGTTTAGTGCAGCTGTTTAAATGATTGCACATATGCAGATCTATGTATGTATTTACATAACTCACTTGCAGCTACTACATACATATATGTATGTAATATATTTAGTATTTAGTAACTCTATTCACACAGATGCACCCACTGCAGCTGTGTATCCGCATTTGTTAATTTTGTTTTTGGTTTATGAGCTTTATTTGGTCTACAATAAAGTATATGCCTCATATTTAGTACATTTGAGTTGTCGCATTGAAACACTTGGAATTGCTTGAAAACGCATTGAAACAATGAAAATTCAACTACACCTACGCACACACAAAAAACGTATTAATTTTTTTTTTACATATTTAACCCACCACGGTCTAGTAGCCTTGCCACTCAAACCTTTCTGCACTAGATGGCTGCCCATGAGCAGCCTAATTTCAGAGGAAACTCTCCCGCGCGCCATGCCGCTCTTCGCCCAACATCACACGCTGCGATGGCGGCTCGCCATACTGATCCTGATAGTAGTTTTCACGCATCATTGTATTAAGACTAGAGCACCGGAAATAGAGTATCTCTTGAAATGGTTTGCGGAAGTCCCGATTCAGCGTGGCGTAGATGATGGGATTGAGCAGTGAGTTGGCATAGCCCAGCCATAGGAACAGCGAAGAGAGTGAGTGCGGTACATGCACCGTTTCCGACTCGACAAACGGTCGTATAAGCGCGAGTATGAAAAATGGCAGCCAGCATATGGTGAACGCGGACATTATGATGCCCAACGTGGTGGAAGCCTTTTTTTCTTTGGCTAGCTGAAAGCGCAGCTTCTTATGATGCGGTGAACCGAGCAGTCCACTAGAGCCGCTCACACCGGCCCCACTGCCGCTGGTGTGATGTGCACTCAGGCCACCGCAAGTGGAATATGTGAGCGATGTGTTGCCATAGCTGCTGTGGCGCTGCCCATTGCCGCTTCCGACCACAGTCAGATCAGTATTGCCTGGCGGCGAGCCGGTACCATTGAGCGCATGCTGCAAATGTGTTTGTGCACGCTTCTCCTCCAGCACGATGCGACGCGCTGCGCGAAATATTTGATAGTAAACGAAGAGCATTACAGAGAGCGGGATGTAGAAAGAACCGAGCGTGGCATAGATTTGATATCCAAAATTTTGGCAGACAATACAAATGGGCGTGCCATGTTCGTCCACATGCTCGTTGCCAAGTATGAGCAGTGGAGGCAATGAAATACTCGCCGCCACTAGCCACACCAAAGCCACACAAGCCATCATGCGACGCGGTGTGCGCTTTACGCCATACTCGAGCGGCTTAGTTATGGCCAAATAACGATCCACGGAGATGGCACACAAGTTCAATATGGAGGCAGTGCAGCAGAGCACATCGAACGAGACCCACACGTCACAGAGTATACGTCCGAAATTCCATTTGTCCAGTACCTCGTATAGCATTGCCATCGGCATGACCAACAGCGCGACACACAGATCAGAGAGGGCCAACGAGACGAGCAGATAGTTGCAGGGGCGTCGCAGCTTGCGCACCATGCACACAGCGATGCAGACGAGCACATTGCCGATAACTGTGCCGATGATGATAAGTAATAGCACAATGCTGACGACAATTGCATGCACGGGTGGCAGCTCAAGTTCATCGAACACTTTTTCGTTTTCGTTCGACCCCTCCTTCGGTGGCGGTGGTATGATGCTAACGTCGGTGGGGAATGCGCCCACCGTGGGATCCCAAATGCTGCTGGTCGTAATGAGTGCAGCACTTGCGCTGCCGCCGCCGCCGCCTGAGCCGCTCGAGCTATCAGCGCCACCCTCGACCACATAGCTCGGGCTAATACTGTTGTTGCTAACGCTAAACACTCCAGTGCCATTATTGGGTCCTGTCGCACCGATACTGATCGAGATATCGGAAGCAGAGATCACGGAAGAATAAAATGAGCTAGAGTTGAAAATATCACCGTTGTTGCTCAATAGCGGCTCATCGGCAGCGGCTGGATTGAAGGCTGCACCAGCGTCGCTATGCGACGTTGTGTGTATAGGATTGTTATGTGGTGGCGTTTCGTATCGCGCTGGTGAAACAACAGCGACAGCGACGGCAGCTGAGGCCTGTGCTATCCAAGTGGTGAGCAAGAGAGCGAGTAGCACAAGGACGGTCGCATGTAGTGTGAGGCGCAGCGCCTGGCGGCTGGGACGTAAACGTAGCAACAGTTTGTTGCTGCTTATATTGTTGGTGGGTTGAAGACGGCTAGGCACTGGCAGCGTGTGTGTAGAGTATGTGTGGTGTTTAGTTGCAGTTATTGCACAATAGTGTTGTAGGCTGCGGACGCTTTGCTTGGTGGTATGTGAAGCCATATAAAATTTAAGTGGGCGTGTAAAAGTAATGTACAGAAAACTTTAATACAAAAAAAAATAAACAAAAAAAAAATAAATACAACGGACGTTTTTTGTTGCCGAAAATGCTTTTTTATCCGCTCAAGTGGTTAATTATGGCTGTTGTAGTTTTGTTTCTAAGTTGACTAGTTCGCTGCTATCGCTATCTGTATATTTTATGTTGCTATGGCCTACCAGAGGAAGTGTATAACTTTTTCTGACTGATTAGCTGCAAATAGTGTTTATGCGAATCTGCTTTGCGCTCGGCCGTCGAGATTTTGACGTTTTAATATCAGCTTTCGTTTGCAGCCTACGATCTATTTGCGCCACGATTTCCCCAAAGCCATTTATCTTCTGCTTAATGTTGGGCCTTGTTTTTGTTATCTCGTATATAAATGGCGTGACTTCTTTGACTTAGACTTTTTGTTGTCGAATCCACCGCACAATCAGATATATCCCAAGCGACTGCATATATTTCTCTCAATTATAATTTTTCGTAATTTGGTTCGTCTCAATTTGCGTTTTAACTTGCAGATTAGCTTCACCTAATATTTTTGTCATTAATCATAATCGTAGCTATTACACATTTTCCACACACATATTTCGGTTGCATAATTGAAGTCTCACATCTCACTCAATTTAGATTGCCTTGCTGGCTTGGTGGGTATGTATGTGTATGAGTATGTTTGTGTCTGTACAATTCCACTTAGTGGTATTCGCATTATTTTTGATCTTGTTAATTTTCTTCTCCATCTTCTTTACTTATACTGCATATCTTCTCATGACGCGTAGCTGTATCGTATTTGTTGCTCGTGTCATTCAATTTATTGCGCTTAATCGCTCGCATTTCCAAACTGGGATTCGGTGCAATTAATCTTGACGTCCCACAAGTACTACTCTCAGTGTTCCGTTGGAAATCTCATTGGTGCTTTGCTGAGTTTTTCTTTCAGGCTATGTGAGTCTGCCATCAATCAGCTTTAAATGCTTAACTCAGCTAAAGTATTCTATGGGGATTGTGAATTTATTCTTTCGCTGTAGTCATTTGTGAAACCACTTGTTTTGGCTACTTCAACCATTGAGGAACTGGGTGGTGGAAGTGAATAATGATTGTCCGGATACTGGAATAAAAGAAAGTCGACAATTAATTCATATTAAAGGTTTGTAGTTATAAAAGAGTTTTTATAACGAAAGAGGTCATTATAATGTATTCACAGATTTAGGACGAATTTCGGTTATTTCTTGGAGACAAATCGCAAATCGCGCAATGAGGGAGAGCAGAAATTCGTTGCAAAGTCACTTAAGTTGTTTTATCAATACATCTTATGTAAGTTTTAAAACTGCTCTCGTTCTGGTTCCAGTTCAAAATTTTTTTATGGAAGTGAGTTTTTTAATGCACAAGAAGACTTTCTTTCTAATAAAAATAATATAGAACAACATAAATTTCGCGGTATATTGGAGAAATTTTGACAAACATTTGGAATTACACACCACGGTTCCATACAGTGGCCCATTCCAGAACGGTATGTCTGACTAAAGTTACATATGTAGGTATTTTTGCCCGCCGATTCGAATTTTGGTTAAAGAATTGTATGTCCTATTTAAAAAAAATGTACTTTCGGTCAATTTTAACTACGTTCTATATCCCCGAATTGGTGATTAATATATTATCGTTTTCTAATAAAAATATTTTCACCCATTTTATAAGTCCAGGACGAGTTGAAGTTTGAAGTTTATTTAGGGGTTGAAAATGGCACTTTCGAACAAAAAGTTTTAAATAAAAGTTACGCATTTTTATCATCAAAATCTGAATCTGTAGTAAGAACATGCACATATGTCAAAATTAAAAAATATAATCGATCGAAACCCAAAGTCGGATATACCAGCTCCCTGATTTGGTAACTCGTATTTTTGCGATTTTCAATAAAAAAAAAAACATTCCCCTCCTGTTTAGAAGATACACAAAGATCGTTTTAAGGAAACATGGAATTTCAGCTCCATATTAGAATGATAAAAAACTTTTTTTTTTCACGTTTAAAGTTGTTTGTAGCTGCAGCTGTACCGGGCTTCTGTACATTGATTATTTTGAACATTTCATTAAAGGAACCATAGCTTTACTTTGCCGAAATTATGAAAAGAAGAAGTGAGTACTGAGAATTTCATTTTATAATCACAAAAGTTTTAGAGAAGGGATGGGCAGATTTTTGGTTCTTAACGCCATCAAAGAGCCAGCAAGTGCTACGCAAGAGCTAAATCAGTTCTCATATCATCATATATATTAGTAATGAGAGGCGGAGTACAAGAAATTTCAATACGCTCTTCTTCCGCCTTCATGCTGGCGCTTGATGTTACCCCTCATCTACCACCTAAATGTGCCAAGCAGACTCCTAAGTGCAAAAGACTCCTGGGAGCCACTTTACCCATCTCTGTTTTAAAGTAAAGCTTCACCCAGAATTGTAGTGGAGGACGGTAAAGCGGTCGACGGTTAACCGCTGTCAAAATTAAAACTCACAGAGACATGTGGAATGGCTCATTATTGCGGCGGCAGCGTTTTTACCGCCGACGTATTTCGATTGATTTAAATTTATTTCTATTTTTTCGTACTTCGGGATGGCACAGTGTTGATTGAATGTTGATTGTAATAATTTTTTTTCACAAGTTTGCAAATGTTTGCATCCCTCTTTGTTTACAGAAAATACACACAACGTCGTTTATTGTACAAAACCGAGTATCAACAAAATGCAAAACCGCGTATGGAACGTTGCATTAATTATTTTGTCGAGCGTGAAAACACTCATATTTCAAAATGGTTCTCTCTGTTATAAAACAATCGCATTTCTGGCTAGTATATTTCAGCACGATTTGGCTAAGGCTTGAGCCAAGAGCTTCGGTGAGTAAACCAATTTTTGGAAAAAAATGTCAGTTCCTCGGTTTTGTAGTTTAAAAGACGATAAGCGCACGTGTCGAAAAAATATTTTACTTTAATGATAATTTCTAAATCAAAATGATAGCTGATAGAAGCCGCC